AAAAAAAAAAAAAAATCCTTAAAGCTATCCAGTGTAGCTAGAAACTCAATATTCATCATCTAAAAACTAAACTAAACATGTTATATGGCCACAAAAAAGGCTGGCCTCGAAATCATTATGTAATCCAGGTTGGCTTGAACTGACACGCATCCTCCTGCCTCAGCCACTGACCTCCATGGTGCCGGGATTACAGGCGTGCTCCCACCACCAAGTCTGGTCTTGATTTACATTTTAAACGGAGTAAAGGACAAAAAATAATTACACTGATGTACAAAGACTGTACCTGTAGGATCACCTAAGAGTTCATGTTGGCCACAAATCTACCGGCTCCTCACACAATTCGGGGGAACAAGCAGGACCAAACAACACAGTCCATAAGGAAATCAAGTATTACTAACGAAAAGTTGAATGCAGTAAGCAGGAGTGAAAGACTCACATTCACATTTATCCTTTTCTCTTAGCTACCACAACTGACCCTGGACAGATGACCAAGGACTGAGCAGATAATGAATAAAACTTCTGAAAACAAGAGCAGTAACAATTCTACATTGAGAGCTTGAATTTAGGAAGACAAAACACAGCTGGTACACTTCCCCAAAGACACAATGCCAGGCCAGTGATAGCAAACCTGTGCGAGTGCTACAGGGGCTGCTGTATCACTGAAACCTCTGAAAGGACTGCCATCACTAGTCCTGGCCAAGGGAAGGAAACTTCTAGAAATAGAGTAAACATTTTGGGCTCAGCCAGCCAAAACACACAACTCAGGCCATCAAATGGGTAATTACAATAAATTCACAAAATTTTGTGAAATAAATTCACAAAAACTTTGCTGACAAAATTCAAAACATACTGAGTATATTTTTGTAGTATTTACTTAGAAGAGTGGAAATCCTTCTGAAAGAACACTGCACTTAACAGGGATTCTCATATTTAAACCCATCAAATTATAAAAATAAATGTTCATCTACAAAAGGTATCACTGGCTCTCAGACCATATAAAAATCAATGGTGGCAGGATCTGACCAAATCTCCCTGGGAACTGACAGCAATCACCACATACCTGATCAAAAATTACCAAAATCAGCTGCCATGTGTCTAGGCCTACTTCCTTCTCTATACTTATATGCTCTACTTAAAATTACACAGATTATCTGAGTGAGGTCAGAAATTTAAGTACTTTAAGTCAACCAGTTTTTTTTGTTGTTTTAATTTCCACGAGGGCCTATCCACAGTTACCAAGGTTTGCAACGAAGTCCAACTATATAGTTCACGGTAGCCTTCAACTCCACGAGCTGCACTAGTTCAGGCTGGGCTCAACCTTGCAGCAATCCTTCCTGCCTCGGTTTCCTGAGTGCTGGATTATAGGCATGTACTACCATACCCAACTCGAGTTAGATCTTCCCAGAACAGCACTGCATAGGCACACACGCACACACAAAGATACATGGATCCGCGGAACAAAGAGGAAGATGAAGAAACAAGCCCGGGCACAGGCAACCATCCCATCTTTGACAAAGGAGCCAAAATGGGCTGGAGGAAAACAGTCCATTTATTAAATGTACTAAGGAAACTAGCTATCCACCTATGTAAGACTGAAGCTATACCCAACATACCTTACTGTGTGCTAAACTCAAAGGAAAGACTGACCAAAGATCTAGATTTCTGTGATCTAAAGCAGCTGGGTATGGTGGCACACACTTATAGTCCCAGCCCTTGGGAGACTGAGGTAGGAAATGACTGAAGATTGAGGCCAGCTTAAACAATATTGTGAGTTCAAGACCAGCCTGAATGAAATAGTGAGACCTCGTCTCAAAAAAAAAGGTCAAATATGTAATAAATGCTGGACAGGCTGGGGAGGAGGGGGGAGGCCTTCTGCATTGTTGGTAGGAATATAAATTAGTACAACCTCTATAGGAATTAGTATGGACATTTATCAAAACACTAAAACCAGGGCCAAGGAAATAGCTCAGTAGAATAAGCGCCTACTGGTAAGCACAAGGTTCTGAGTTCAATCCCCATTACCACCAAAAATAAATCAAAGCTCTCCCAAGAAGAAATGCATATCCTGGCCAAACACAGGGAAATTTTTTAAAGTGGAAAACTTGCTTGCACAAACCAGCATGCTACAGAGTAATAAGCATTTAGATGAACCATTAGAGCCACCGCCCTACCAACACCCACAGTGACCACATGGTGACAGTGCAGGGTGACACCAAGGGGCACAGGACCCGGAGCCAGGCACAGCTTAGCTCCACCACAGCACGTGCTCCAGCCTGCCTTTTCCCTTCCAGTGAGTCTCGGCCAGGAGAAGGGCTCTGAAGCAAACTTGCACCTTTTGGGCACAGGTCTTCTTGTTTTCACTTTTTTCTGCTCGGGTTCACTCTCCGCACTGGTGCCTTGTTCCCCTTCGTCTTCGGAGGGCTCTCGTTTCCATTTTTCTCTACAATCAAAACCAAAACAAAGTAACTTTTTTTCTAAAAGAATTCTTCTAGCTAAGCCATCTGATTAAACAAACTGCAATCAGATTATCTGAAATGCACAACCTGCATACTTAAGAGCTACTAGGAGAGATTTTAGTTCTTTTTAAATTTTAATTACATTACATACTACTCATTCCTACTTTATCTCTGATAACAAAACATAAGAAGGGAAAACATGGATTAATTTTTGAACCATTTTTTTAGGGGAAAAATGCTGTCAAGGTTCTCAAATTCCTTCCAAATTTACTACTACATCATGGACAAGACTGAAGCTGTAATACACTCCAAATCAACATTCACCGAACTTTAGCATGCATCAGAACCACCTAAAAGGATTCTTAAGAAAGACTGCCAGGCCCAGGCACCGTGTTAATCAGGATGTTTCAGGTAAGACCCAAAACTCTGAATTTCGACAAAGCCACTCATCATGCTGAGTAACAGTTTTAAACTGATTAACAATGATTGTAGGACTTATTTTCAGGCTTTAGAACATATTTAAAGAAATACACTTAGGACGCTGGGGCAGGATAACCATGAGTCAAGAGGCCAGCCTAAGCTACACAGTGAGTTCAAGACAAATGTGAACTATAAAAGTCCTTGTCTTACAATAATTATATTATTTTTCAGTTACAAGGCTACCACTGAACTAAACAGTCTATTCAGGCAATGGGGTAGTTTTTAATTCTTATCAGATAAGATGGATTTTTTTTTTTCATGCCTTAAGATCTCAGAAGGCTTGAAAGAATCAGGCATCTTTCCTAAAAACAAGTATCTCAGGGATCTAGCTCATTTCTTAATTGTGGGGAGGTAAAGGAATATTAACTAGCCACTGGGTTATTAAACATCTAGAAAAAAACTGGCAGGTGATGCCTGAACTTTCTCTGTAAACAATTACCACTTCTGCCATTATAGGAAGTAAGGTCATGTGTTAGTGCTTATCTGGTTTTTCATGTATTAATATTTGTTTTATATAGTTGGATGCACTGGTACTTGGTGCTCTGATTTAGCTGGTATTTCTTCCTCTTGGATTGTTCCCTTTACAAGGATGTAGTGACCTTTTTTGTCTCACTTAATCTGTCTTGGCTTAAAAATCTACTTTGTCTGCAAACAGAATAGCTGCCACTGTTTTTTTCTAGGTCCCTGTCCCATGGAGTATTGTTTTCTATCCTTTGTCTATAAATTTTTAATGAAATGTTTTTTGTATGCAGCATACTGTTGGACCTTGTTTCTTGATCCATCCTGTTTCTTATGATTGGTGAATTAAGACCATTAACACTGGCAGTTATAACTGGTATGCACTGACTGATCCTTGTCGTGCTACTTTCTTCTTGTTGGCTCCCCTTTTCTCTCCCCCTGGTTTAACTGCTTGTCATGCCTGCTGGCTTCATTCTGTTGGGATTCATGGAGCTGTAACCCTTAGTATCTCTTTCTAGAATATCCTTCTGAATGTTTTTGAGTGCTGGTTTCATGCTCATGAACTTCCTCGGGTGTTCTTTGTTGGAGAAGTACCTTATTTATCAATTTTGAAAGATAGTTTTATGGGGTAAATCAATCAGAGTTGGATGTTATTTTAAGGCTTAAAATACTATACTCCAAGCTTTCCGTGAATTAAAGGTGTTGAAAAGCCTGTGGTGAATCTGATGGGCTTTTCTTTATAGGTGATTTGTTTTCTTTAACAACTTTTAACATTCTGCTCCTGTGTTTAATTTCTGGAATCGAGGATTCTATACCTCAGTGCAGTGTTTCCTTTTGGTTTTTTCAATCATGGCTTGGGAAGTTTCTGCCATGACTTCTATGAACGAGCATCATTTGCCTATACCCTGCTTTCTCACTGACCCCTACCAGTAACTGTCATTCTCCCTTGTGCCATCTACTAACTGCTAAGTGGACTTTTTTGTGATCCCGTACTATTTTTAAGAAATCTCTCTTTTCATAATCACTAACCCCAATCCTGTTTTCTATATCAAAATCCTGTCCTCACATTGGTTCATTCTACTGCATATACTTTCAATCCAATTTTTAAATCTCCTGGATATCTGAATCAATTGCATGGATTCAACTTTTTTTTTTTTTTTTCTTTTTTTTAGGAAAGGGTCTACAGGGTGGTCAAGGTCTCACTACTAGATCGGACTATAATGATCCGCCTATTTATAGCCTCCCAAGAACTGGGATTACAGGCACGCACCACCACACCCAGTTTCAACTGCAGTCTCTGTGTACCCCAGGGGCAGGCCTGGCACGGCAGGCCTGGGGATGGAACCCCCTCCAGCCCCCCCACCCCACCCCATTGCCTGCTTGCAGGAGCTTTAATCCACTGAGCTATTTAGCTGGTCCGCCACTTATTTCCTATGTTGGACATTCATGGTTTCCATCATTTTCCTAAGCACCTCTATTTTTTGACCTATGCCTGCTCTATAGTCACTATCACTATCATTATGAGAAATTATTTCTGATTTTTATTCTAGAACTTCATCTGTTTTGTTACTTTCACTGTTTCCACTTCAGAGAGTCCACATAGATGGCTTTCAGATTTAACTACCTCGTTGGGAAATAAGGTCACGTTAAAGGCAACTGTTACACAACTGCAAAATCAAAACATATTTTTCATAGGAGAACAAGTCAAAATCATACTGAAAGCTTGCCCCAAGAAGGGAGCTAAGCTACAGATTTCTGAGACTAAAAGCTGCAGCAGTTACCCTATCTATACCTCTACGACCTTAGGAATGGTCCTTTTACTACATGCATTCATATCCATTTCTCTAATAATAGACAACTTGTTGCATGTCTTTTTTGTCCTCCTTTGTACCAGCACTTAAGTAAAGATATTAAGATATTCATTAAGGAATGAGTCATATCAAGCTGTCAGATAGACAGGGTATCTCCTAAGATAGTAAGACCTGTTATTAGTTAATATCCATCAATCCCTCTTTAAAACAAAGGCCTTATATTTAACCATTCTGGGTACCTGTCTTATTCTGCCTCCCTGGAGCATAATAAAATAAATGACCAAGAGACAATCTTTAGGATGGAAGATTTTCCCAGGAACTACAAGACTGGCACTATGGGTCTGCAGACTCCATTGGACCACACTTTTCCCTTGGATAGAGCATATTGTTACAGTAGACAGAAGTGGTTTCATAGGAAAAAAAACCAAGAACAATTAATGTCACAGAACCTAGTACAAAACAGAATGAAAACACTGCACCAAGTGTTTGAAGGCAATCAACTTTATTACACCACCAGTCAATGCGCCCAAGGTATCAATCAGCCCAGAGCCAGCTTTGGGCTTAGTTTATATACAGTTTGCAAGCAGGATACAAAAGCTTAAAATCACAGTTAAAAAAAAAAAAAAAAAAAAAAAGCATGATGAATTTTTATTTATTGGGAAGCATCAGTTTTTTGGGGCAAGAAACTGAGCTAGGTGGCTGGGTGCCGTCACGGTCACACTGAGCCAGGTAGGGTAGCTCCAGTGTGGCTTAGTCAGGGCTGAGCCAGTCTACAGACCAGCTGTGCCAAGGGCTGGGTGATCTCATTTTGTCCTAACGTGGTGTCAGACTACTGATTTTTAAGTTTTAAAATTTCCATCACATTAAGACAAAAAAGAGCACAGATCTGTAAGACAGACCAATAGTCAAGTAGTGCTCTAATTTACACATATTCTCCAGTAACTGAGAATCCCAACCTGAGCCACCAAGAAGACCTACAAGTGCTGGAGACTAAAATGGAAGCAAACACTGAACAAATGTGAACTGACAGTGGAGCTCTCCACTCGGATGACGTATCTGCAGACAACCAGGAAAACTCAGAACCCCCCAGCATAAGGGGAGCCCCTGGGAAGTCATCTGGTCCTAGCCCTCCTCCTCCCAGAGGAAACTGAAGGCTAGCAATAGCACACTGTTTGATCCTACAGGGAACCTGCAGTCCTTCAAATCCCACAAGCAACCAGATAACGGGAGGTGTAATAGCACTAATTATATATTATTTGAGTTTGAAACTGGCAGTACTTTGTTTTTATTTTCATTGACAAGAAAAAAAATATTAGCAACATTCAATCACTCTGTAGAAAGGGTGAGGTGAAAGATTATAACTTATGAAAAGATTACTTAACAATCCTATAGATGCACAAGGCTCTCAAACATGACCACTTTCCTATACCACTGCCTTCTTACAAAACATCAATGTTTGGGCTGGTCAAATAGCTCAGCAGATTAAAGTGCCTGCAAGCAGGAACAGGGGCTGGGGTTTGATCCCAGGGCCTGCTGTGCCAGCCCCACCCCCAGGCGTGCTGAGACTGCAATTGAGACTGGGCGTGGTGGTGGTGCACGCCTGTAATCCCAGCTCTTGGGAGGCTGTAAAAAGGTAGATCACTGGGTCTGATCCAGTAGTGAGACCCTGAACACCCTGTAGACCCTTCCCTAAAATACAAAAAAAAAAAAAAAAAAAAAAAAACCTATTTAAGACCACCACTGCCCCAACTAGGCCATGGTTCATAATTCTGGCTACAAGGAGAGTCTGAACTGGGTGTGGTAGTGCACAGCCATTAATCCCACAATTTTCAAGGTCAAGGCAGGAGGATTGCCACAAATCCAAAGCCATCCTGAGCTATATACAGTGAACTCAAGACTAGTCTGAAATAAAGGGCAAGGCTTTGTCACAAGAAACAGAAAAGTAGACAAATTATTGTAAATAAACAGTATTTTCATGTACCAAAAATCTAATTTTATATCTAATTATAAGAGGAAATCAATGTGAATTTTAATAAGAGGAAATCAATGGAATTTTTGTCTAAATTTTCAAAATTAAAGACAAAAATCCCCAAGATTAAGCCAGTGAGGCCCCAAGGAAATATAAACAGGCAAGAATCTAAATGCAAGTGAACTCTATTTAGTCAACTGTCTCTTCACTGGGAGAAGATGGTTGGCAGAACACAAACCCTGAGAGGGCAAATCTAATCTAAGCAACTGTGAAGCAGGTAACGAGCAAAGCCTGCTTCTCAAATACTGAGAGCCTGAATGTTGGTCCAGAGCTCCTAAGGATCGCAGTAAACGTCTGTAAGATCCTACGAGAAGACTTCCTAGTTTAGGAGGGAGGTCAGGTCAGGAAAGGACGGAAGTAGCCTCTTAAAACTGTTCAACTTGGGCTGGCGAGATAGCTCAGCAGGCTAAGCACCTGCCTGGCAAGTGCAAGGGACCCAGGTTTGATCCCCAGTACCACATGTGATGTCAAAACTGGGCATGGTGACACACACCTGTAATCTCAGTGCTGGGGAGGCTGAGACAGGAGGATCACTAGAATTCTGAGCTGTGTAGCGAGACCCTGTACCAAATAAAAGATTTTAAAAAAAAAAAAAAGTTCAACTTTCAAGAGCACTTTTCATGAATGATTCCACTCTGACACTAACAGGGATTGTCTTCCACATTGTTGCAAGTTTATGACAGATTCAACTCAAAACACTGGAAGGGAATAAATAACTATGAGCCCATGGAACAATTTGGCATTTTTAGGACTAAAATATTTAACATCCTCATTGAGAAAATTGTTCCATCCAAGAATGGCCCGCTCAGGCCCCCCTCCTGTCCCTCTCTCGGACAGGAGCTTTCTTTCCCTCAATAAATATATTCTGCTCATAAAAAGAAAAAAATGAGAGAGAGACAGACAGACAGACAGACAGACAGACAGACAGAGAATGAGAACGAATGAACTGTTCTGGAACTTTACAGTGTCTTTCAGCACTATCAGGACCATGGGTCTGCAGAAATCCCACACAATACAGCACCTGCCTGACAAGGGCAAGGCTGTGAGTTCCATTCCCAATACCGAAACAAAAAGGAAAAGGAATCTCATACTACACTGCCCCAGTTTGGATAACACTAACAGGTATTACATGCAAAAAATAATGCAGTAATTGAAACAACATTAATAAAATTCAGCTTTGTGTGACTTAGGGGTTATGATTACAATCTCACTGCTGGAACAGGGCAAGGATGCAAAGATGGCAAAATGGAAGGAGAGGACCACACATGGCTATCACTAGTATACAGATAAAAAATGACAGCCTTTCTCAAAAGAAGCTAGAAATAGTCATAATTCAGTCTCTCCATCTTCAATGTTGCTTAACAAATTTTAGAGAAGTTTTTAAGTATTATGTAGGTCCACTAGGCTTTGTAATTTCTGAGTTTTAAAAAAATGCTAAGGGCTGGGGAGATAGCCCAGTAACATAAGTGCTATCTGGCAAGCACAAGGTCTTGAGTTCGATCACTGGTATGGTGGGATGGGGGGAGGGGAGAGTTAATATACTCTAGGTCTCTAGAAAGCCTCTAGGGCCATGGAGACAGCTCAACAGCATAAGTACCTCACTGGCACACACAAGGTCCTGACAGTTCTATCCTCAGTACCACAACAAAAAGAGAGAGAGAGAGAGAGAGAGAGAGAGAGAGAGAGAGAGAGAGAGAGCGCGCGCTTCTTTATAATTCACTAAAGAACATAGTCCCTTCTAAGACTACATTCTTCAGTGCCCCCACCCCCTGGCGCACTGAGCCAGTGATGGAGTCAGGTGTAGTGGCACGTGCCTGTAATCCCAGCACTAGGAAGGCTGAAAACAGGACGATCACTACTTGAGTCCAAGCCGTGTAGTGAGACCCTGCATGAGAAAAAAAAAAAAAAAAACTAAA